ACGAATCTCCTCCCTTCTTCTCTCTGCTCTATCTTTCTCTTTGTCTCTCTCTGTCTGAACATGCACGGCGATGGCAACGTCGTGCACGTATCTCTTTCTCCCTTCTTCTCTCTAGTTTATCTTTCTCTCTGTCTCTCTCTGTCAGACCATGCACGACGATGGCAACACCGTGCACAAATCTCCTTCTCCCTTCTTCTCTTTGCTCTAACTTTCGCTCTGTCTCTCTTTGTTTGAACATGCACGGCGATGGCAATGCCGTGCATGAATCTTTCTTTCTGTTTTCTCCTCTCTCTGACACCCACAGCAGTGGCAGCGTTGTGCGTACCTCTTTTCTCTCGTCTTTCCTTATTCTTCTTCTCTCTTTCCTAAACTCTTACTCTTCTCTTTCCTTCTTTCTCTTCTGACTCTTTCCTATTCTCTCTCCTCACTTTCCTTTTCTCTTTCTTCTTCCTTTTTCATCTCTCACTGTCACGTTCCTTCTCTCTCTACTTTTCTTTTCTTCTTTCTCTTTCCCAAAACTCTCTCTTTCTCTTTGTCTTTCTTTCTCTCACTCAGATATTCCTTCTCTCTCTCCTCTCCAGTTGTGCACAGCGAGGCCCATCGCCGGACGTAACACTCTCATTCTTCCCTTATCCTCTGGAAACATGCACAATGAGTCAGGCCTTAACCCGAGTGGTGGACCAGGCCTCTATCCAAGTTTCCCCTTCCCTGAGTTGTGCATGGCGATGCTCATCGCCGCGCATAACATTCCTTCTCATTCTTAGACAAGGACATTGAACCCGGCCCTTTCTCAAGAGGCAAGTCGGGTCGTGTCAAAGTCCTTTACGACACGAGCGGTGATGCCTAGCGTCGTACATGTCCTTTCCCTTTTCTCATCCTCTTTCTTCTGTCAGGGGCGACGGAACCCATCGCCATCCATATTCTTTCTCTCTCCTCTTCCCTCTGTCATGGGCGGCGGAACGCATCGTCATCCGCTTTCTATTCTTTTCTCTCTCTTTTTTTTGTTCTTTTCTTTCTCCTTTCTCTCTCTTCTTTTCTCTCCTTTCTCTCTCTTTTCTCTCTCTTCTTTTCTTTCATCTTTCTCTCTTCTTCCCTTTCCTCTTTCTCTCTCTTCTCTTCTCACTCCTTTCCCTCTTCTTCTTCTCTCACCTTTCTTCTCTCTCTTTCTCTTCTTTTCTCTCTACATCTCTCTTTTCTCTCTTCTTTCTCTCTCTTCTTTCTTCTTCCTCTCTCATCTGACCAAGGGACAAGCCAAGCTTAGCACTGTCACGGTAGTCTCGTCGGCGAGCAATATTGTCGTTGTGCCAGTCTAAGTTATCCTACCCGTTTTGTTGCCACGTCGAACTCGTCGTTGTGCCAGGCTGGTTGGTGTTGGTGTTTTGTTGTCGAGTAGTATTGCTGATGTGCCGGTCCGTGTTACCATGCCTGTGTTGCTACCACGACAGGTCAATCATCAGGCCAATCTAGCCACTGTGCTAGGCTAGTCACTTCTCTCTCTTATCTTTTCTTCTCTCTTCTTCTTTCTCCCAACCCTCATCTCATCATCTCTTCTATTTTCTCCTTTGAATGTGCACGCCTGTGTACATTCACCCAAAGACAAAGTGGGGTCCTTTGGCCTACTTGTCTTGTAAAATTAACCATGTGTTTGTGATTATAGAAACAAGAGAATATAAGCCAAGGGAGGCGATTCCGAACTAGTTGTAGAATTGGGGGGCTTTCTTCATGATCTAAAAGGGTGCCCACGCGAGCTAGCCTTCAGTAAGTCCCGAACCCACCTTAAATTTCTCTCTCATCGGTTGGTGTACCTGCCGTGGCTCTTGAGCAAGATTGCCGAGAGAGCGATCTCAAAGTCCTGGGTTCGAAGCCCGAGATGAGTGCCGCCAGATCATCCAGATCCGGAGGGCGAGATCGAGGCACCTAACTAGCTTGGCGACTCCACTGGAGACTTACTACCCCTCGTTGGATCGTCCTTGTTTGAGTTTCTCCTTTGTTTTTATGTTTTCACATACCACATATGGCTTCAGGGTTCTCTAACCCATTTATCCGAATCAGAGATTTTCCTTGAACTTCGTTCCCAACTTTTCTTTTGAGCAAAGAACTAGTGTCTATTTCCCAAGTCTTAACCTGGATAGGCGTGAGGAGGGACTTAAAAAATAAAGGTCCCGAACTCCCCATCTCTTCGCCCTGGTGGAACTTCCACCAAGGCACCCTGCATCTGTAGCATATCTACTGCCACTTACAGTATGCACCCTGTCACCGGCAAGTCACTTGTCGGTCGTATTGCCGAGGTACGCCGGAAGGCTGCCGAGTCCCTTTCTGCAAAAGGCAAGCACATTGTCATTGCTCCTGTGGGAGTCTCTATGTTTAGAGACTCAACACATCGAGGAGGACACCCTTGGGCCTCCACCTCACGCACACACTCTAAGTCTCATGGGTCATCCACTCGAGTCACACCTCGAGCCCGCCCTGACCCCCAAGTCACCCGGAATGCTACTTCAAGGGGCATACACGCGCCACCTTCCTAGGCCATTGCTTGCTCCCGACTCAACACCTGTCAGGAGCCAGTCCCTCTTCTCCCGCCCTTTCTCCTTCTGACGGACACCTCAAGAACTGATACTCGAAGGTCTTCCCTCAGAGTACCAGCCTCATCAGGTCCGCTATGCCTCTGGAGAGCTCAGGGCAAAGGCCTAATGATTGATGAAGTTCTTCAACTTCCAAGGCAGAAGATCAAGAAGATCAAATCAATTGTTGTTGAAAGCCCAGATTAGACACCCCCACTTCCTGATCCTGTAGAAATCCCCGAACGTTTGACAAAGCACTCACGTTGCTGTCCAATCTGCATGTTTGCTTATTATGAAACCTTCTTAACTCAACGCCAAGCCTTTCTTGCTTTAGTTCATTCTTATTCTGACCCTAGACTTACAAAGAAGTTGTAGGTCAACCTGGGTGGGAACAAGAAATGGTAGATGAATTGAATGCTCTCAATTCAAATGCATGTTTTGGTATCTTATGTCTCTTCCAAGAGTAAAAAGATTTGTTAGATGTTGTTGGGTATATAAAATTAAGACAAAAGCAGATGGCAACATTGAATGATATAAAGCTTGGCTTGTGGAAAAAAGATACAATCCGCAATATGGAATCGACTTTGCAGAAACTTTTGCTCCAGTAGCTCATATTTCTACTTTTAGACACTAATTTCTACAACAACTATTTAGCAATGGCCTCTGTATCAGTTAGACTTTAAAAACGTATTTATCAATAGTGATATTGATTAAGTATATATGAAGTTGCTTCCTTGAGTTATAAATTCTCCAAATGGAGTGTATAGACTTCAACGAGCTCTATATACACTCAAATAAGCTCTCCGGTCTTGGTTTTAAAATTCAGAATTATAGAAGTATCAGTAGGATTTCAACAAAACCATCACAATCCAGCCATGTTTCTATCTTAAACTCCACAAGAACAAACTATTTTGTTCGTCTATGTGGATGATATATTCTCTCAGGGGATGATATAAGCACTATTGACAAGATAAATAGAAACTCCCTTAAGTATTTAAAATGAAATACTTTGGATTAGAAGTTGCTTATTCCCCTCATGTTTGCTCTTTCAGCTCAAGTATGCCTAAAAACTTGTTTCCCAAGCATGACTAGCAGATGATACCAAGCAAGTTTATACCCCTACTGAATTGAATGTCAAACTTCGGGCTATGGATGGCGAACTTCTTCATGACCCAACATTTTATAGACAACCTGTTAAGAAACTGATATTTTTCACACTTTCATGCCCAGATATTGCTTGTGCAGTCCATTTAGTCAGCCAATTTCTGAGTGCTTCTTGTTTTGTTCACCTAGCTGCAGTATTGCAAAGAAATCTTATGTTTGGGAGACTCTGCATCGAGCTTATTCTTCTCTTCTTCTTCCTTACTGAAGCTTCAAGCATATACCAACTCAGATTTGTGGGAACCCAATTAACTAAAAGTCCACTACAGGATACTGTATTTTTTTAAGAAATTCTCCTCTAACTTGGGAAAGCGAGAAACAAACACGTGTTACTCAATCCACAACTGAAACTAAATAAGGGCCATGACACAAACTACTACTGAGGTGCATAATACCGCTTCCATGCCATCGTATTATGACAACAGAAGCGCCATTATATTTCAAAGAAATCTAGAGTTTCATGGATGGACCAAACATATCAAAGTTGGTTGCCACTTTCTTTGGTAAGAATATTTGGCACGCCACAATTTCTCTCCCTTATTTGTTTACCAAATCACATTCTACGCATAGTTTCTTACAACTTATTTACAAACTCTCCAAGATTTCTTTCAAATTGTCTCGAGTTTGAATGAAAATGTGAGAATGTATGGAAATTGTATATTGGTTGTTTTATGTGGGCACATATAGAAACTGTATATTACATGAGAACAACTATAGAAACTGCATAGCTGTATACTGCATGTATACACATTGTTTGCACATGCCTCTTGTATAAATCATGTATTGTAGTACCAATTCCACGGTGAATAGAATACAATTCCTTCACATCATGTCTCACCCACCCCCCACCCCCCCCCCCCTCCAATAAAAACAAGAAAAAAAAAATTTTCCTCTTCCACAATTAATCTCCACTGTCCATCAATAGAAACAATAAGGGATGCCTGTTTGGAGTAATTTATGTCATACTCCACTAGAGTGTGGTACACGTTTCCACATAGGCTAATATCAATTCCAGTAATTATCAGAAAAAATCAAATCCTATCATGAAGAGATGGCTTAGTAACTCTAAAATTAATATTTTTTATTCATCAAAACAACACTAGGAAAACCAAAAGGAACTGATAATAAATACATTTCATATAAACCACTGAGCACATTTTATATAAATCATGGTGAACAATCTAATCCAAGCATAGGAAAATATCATGTTTAAGTTATATACGAAACATATAAATGGTTGAGAAGTACCTGTACGGCTATAAAGTATAAATGAAGTGAGATCACCAGCGGTCATGTAACCTTTAATGGTTAAGTTGGCTCCATAAATCACCACTATGACAGCAGATAATGCGAATGCTGCATTAAGCCCTCCAGAGAAGAGGCCCACAACCATCTGCCACAAGGGAAGATAGCACATATAAGTCATAAGAATTATAAAAAAAGGAAAAAAATATCCTATTGTCAAATGGACTCTCGCAAACAACGGTCTACATGGAGACATCACCAGTTTATGATATGGATGGTGATGGGGAATGTGCGGTCCATCATTGGTGGTTCCCACTCTCTCTCTACAACCAATCATCATTTCATCAAACAGTGATGAACCCCATGGATTAAACTTCTTTCATAGCCCCTTGGACTATCGCATACTTTCCATACTCCATTGGTAAACAGTAACTTCCAGATATTGAAAGGTAGGAGTTATAAAAATCATGAATATAGTAAAACTTGACAGTTACTCAGAGCTAGCTTCAGTCCCAGCTTCAAAGTCTCATCGACTTTTTCTCCATAGCGACCAATTTCAAACTCCTTCTGTGCAAAAGATCTAACTGTCCGGGCAGCACCAAAATATTCCTGACATTTTATGCCATTTGTAAATTTAAGTGCATGAAAATCCATTTCACATATTTAAATATATCTTTAAATAGTTCATTGATGCATGTTTTCCATGGCATCAGCCAGTAAAAAATGGATTCGAGCTCAGACAGCTAGGTTCCAGAGCCCAAGTCAGCTGGTTCGACTCGGCCTAGTCTTAATAAGACCAAGTCTCGTCTCTATGATCATATCATAGTAGGTTCCAAAGCCCCGTGAGACTAGGGTGAGTCCTTAGGTTTTTGAACCGGAACCCGCAGCTTTCCAGGTTCAAATAACTCGGGCGAGTTTGAGCCTAGTCACCGAGCTTCAAATCACCAGCAGCAACAATTAAGCATAGTATTCAACTATGAAAAATCTAAAGGTTAGAACTTTGAAGGGATGCTCTAGAATTTGAAGATTTTATATTCAGCCGGACTAAGACAGAGTTTATGAAATACAAATTTAGTAATAATATGAGTAGGTACGAAAAAGTAGTCAAGATTGACAGTCAAGAAATACCAAAAAGAACTTACTCTCAATAGATTGGATTGATAATCCAGGAAAATGGAGAAATTGAGGAAGATGACGCAAATAGAATTAGAGTAGGGGAGATGTGCAACCGGATTTTTACGTGATTGCCGCATACCAATGAAGCTGAATGGCAAGTTCTATAGAACAGTTGTGCGACCAGTTTTACTTTATGGGGCGGAATGCTGAACGGTCAAGAAACAATATACCCATAGAATGAGTGTAACTGAGATGAGGATGTTGAGATGAATGAGTAGAAAGACAAGAATGGATAAAATTCAAAATGAATACATTTGGAAGAATTTAGGTATGGCACCAATAGGCGATAAGATGAGAGAAAGTAGACTTAGGTGGGTTAGCCATGTGTGGGACAAACTCAGTACATTACCTATTAGGAGGTGTGAGTTAGTTCAAATGGAAGGCCCAAAAAGGGCAAGGGGTAGACCTAAAAGGATATGGGTGGAACTAGAGAGAAAAGATATGGGGACTTATAGCCTCACTAAGGGTATGACCTTCAATAGAGCAAAATGGCAGACAGGGATTTGTGTAGCCGGCCCCAATTAGTTGCGAAAAGGCTTAGATGATAATGATGATTCAACTATAAAAATAGATATCTGATCAAATTTTGATTATATGTGACAAACTTTAATATTTTAAAGAGTATATTACGATCAAAAAAAGGAAAAAAGACATAGTCATGGTCCAAAGGATGGTGACAAACTTTAATATTTTCCTCTGGCCTGTCTCTCTCTCATTTCATTAGATGGTGATGATGACTCTAATGGATTACGAACTTATCATTACTCAGTATTAGAATATTCTTTTTGACTATGCTACTTAGAAATGTGAGTATGCCTATCATTTTGTGCTCTGAAAATTTTCAAAATGGGAAATGATGCAAAATGACCAGAAACTCTAAATATAATTTTTGAGAGAAGTTCAAGAAAACTCCAAGGGCGGCTCAATTTGTTGCACATTTTAACGGAAGCAACAACATTTCCTAGGTTCAAACTTTAAACTTATTCTTATTGCAACTTTGGCCATGCCCAAGTTCAAATCCCGAGCTGTTCACAATTTTAGGACTATTTCTACATGCATAACTAATATTTTTGTTTTTAACTATATATATATGGATGTTTCATCCTGATTCTTAATTTATAAAAGCCGTGTCAAAAACCTTAGAAACATGTCCAAACTGACAGTCATTTTAGTGTCTTGGTAATGTAGCTTTCTCAGTAAAATCATTAGTTTTTTCAACCGATCAGATTTATAGTCTCAGAACAGCTTAAAATGGAAAAAGAAAAATGTGATAGGTAGAAGCAGAGAAGCATAATAATGCATAATTAATTATGCACACATGCAATAAATATAAAAAATGTAGAGAGAAGTAGCAGAGAGAGTAAAAACCTCTGCAATTGAAGCACCTATTGCAGCAGCAGCTTGAGTCTTATGAGAAAGATCGCAAAGATAATGCCCAAACTTGCGTACCGCAATTGAAATGGCTGGTGTAATTGCCAATGCCAATACTGTTGGACAACAAACAAAAAAGCAGTTCACATAAGAAAGTAACTTATGCAATGGAGATGCACGATGGAATGAGGTATTTGTAACTGGAAGTCTAATGTGCAAGAGAAAAAAAAAATAAGTTTCCTGAGTTGGGTATTGGGAATAACCTCATAAAACTAATTCTATGTACAGTTTCAGTCCTTCCAGATGCTTAGCTTATTGGGTTTCAACTAAATAGAAGTTTGTTGTTGCATGTGGTAATTTGTAATGCAATCAAAATAGTGGATTTTCAAAAGTAAGGATAGAATTTCAATAAGAAAAATGACGAGGAATTCTTATGTAACCAATAGAAACCAAACTGCCATAGAAACCTAAGTCATCTGCAAAAAGGAGCTTTTCAATTTCAAATTATACTCCTCATCTAGAATTCATAGTAGTAGGTTTATATCTAAGGATTATCTTTTAATTGGGCAGTTAAGCAGTAGGATCTGAACTTGGCCATGATGTATTTCTCGAGATTATCAAAATATCAATAAGTGATTAAGCAAAGTAACCATGAGAATTTTTAAAATTGGATCAATAGCTAGAAACAATCCATCTCAAAAGGCCATGAACTCCAAAGATTCTATAAGAACACATGAAGACAGAATTTTCCAGATAATTCTCCAACAGTAAACTAATTACTGACATGTTAGCTTCCAAGATGTTGGGAACATGAAGGTCAGGCCAATAAATGCAGTGGAAATACCACACAAGGCGTCAGACAGATTGGTAGTAGCTGCACTTTTTATAATTTGGGTATCTTCAGATAGCCAGCTTAGGAGCTCCCCAGTTCGTGTTACATCAAAGAATGCAATTTCCTGAAATAGTCCTATCATTAAAAACAAATAAAAGAGAAAGAATGTTGAATCAGTTATAGGTCTACAAGAGATGGGAATAGATGGACTAACTTGCTGAATAAGATGACTAAATAAGTTCTGCCTCAACCGGGCAACAACTCTTTCACTAGCCGAAGAAAATAACCATGTATTCATCCCCTCGCATATTGATCTACACTAACATAAATTGGGAAGGAATAAAGTCAGATGATGGTCTACACAGCTAAAATATCATATACATAAACATATCACATGTAATGATCATGATTGCAATCTCGGATATCAACTAATTTTATTAGCGATGTTCACCATACCCTATAACAACAATACCCACAATATCTAATATGGTATCCCTGATAGCATCTAGTGCATCAATTTGTTGCTCAGGTGTTCTCACTTCTCTTGAAACAATGTCAATTATCATTCCCCCATATTTTGGCTGCAGTCCAAAAACTTGAACTGCTTTAGTTGAGGGCGTTCAAATAGATTAAATAGAAGAAATGATTTCTTAATTGACATTTGAAGGAATTGAGCAAAGTGGAATGTGCGAAATACCCACAACTAGAATGCTTGATGTGGATGCAATAAGTAATGCAACAGTTGCCAGAAACAGCTTGTCGGCATCTGGCTTTGCCTGGAAAGAGAAAATATATTAGTATAAATCTATATAGAGAAAATTCTCACCACAATTCATGAAATGCAGCGGTTGCAATACCCAAGAAAGAAGCAAACGGAAAAAAGTTAGAGAAGTCACGCACCATTGAGAGAACTCTACAAAACCCGACATTTGCAGCCTGGTTTCAAAGAAACGAAATGTGTGTTACTAGCTTCGCATACACCAATCCTATTCAGAATACTCAGGTATATGAACCAAAGAAATTGAACGATCGACATCGGCAAGTAATACAACAAGAGATTGATATAGCTACTAGTATCATCAGCAGTAATAATAAACATAAACTCCAATGTCCAGGAGAAACATTTGATATTTCTGAAGAGATGAAAGCATATTTATTAGAAATTGGAAAAGATAGCTCCTTTACGGTACAATTATGATAAGTACATTGATAACTACCAAAACAAATGCAAATTTCTTAACATTAAAAATTGAAATCATATAAAATAAAACTGGTTACAATCTTACAGGAAACCACATTAAACTACATAATCAGGAAACCACATTTTAAACATAATCACCTGCACTGCATCACCTTGCAAATTTCTTAACATTCAAAATTGAATCATATAAAAAAACTGCTTACAATCTCAGAGGAAGCCACATTAAACTACATAATCACCTGCACTGCATCACCATGCTCAAGATCACTAACACGACCATCCGTAGATTGGGCATCACTTCTCTTTGAATCAACCTATTGGAAAGTAACCACATTAGAATTCCTCAACCATTTACTAGTTATCATGTTGATAAGTAACGATAATATTACAGAAAACAAGTATATACCCATGTGAGAGGCTAGAGTGTGTGCCCACATTTGTTTTGGGTAGATAAGCTGGGATTCAAGCCTAGGAGTTATGGTCCTTATACCAGACCACAATGAAGAAAGAAAGAGAGGGAGAGATGTTCATTATCTCTGTTTATGGAATCATTTAAAGTTTTAAACCAATATAATCTGAGAGAGAGACAGACAGGTCTACCTTCATGTAATCATTTAAGGAAAGAGTTTATATAAGGTAGGCACATTAAAATGCAGAAATAAGTTGCACCTCTGATATCCTTTGATAAGAGTTGTTTTGATGTTAGAGGAACACTTTATCATCTCGACATCGAGATGATAGATATGGAGAGAGAAATAGATTTTAAGTTCTAAAAATAATACATCAAGCAACATAGTATTTGGATGGATTTCAACTATTTTTTGAGTTTAAAAGTTTATAATTAAAGATAAAAATAGATTCAGGCACACTCTTGAGAATTTTGAATACCGAAATTGTATTTCATGACAAAATCTGAAAGTACACCTTAATTTGATTATTTAAAGTTGTAACCTTATACAAACCACACCTTTGAGTGCAGTTTCTACAGGGCTGCAGCCCTATTTATTGAAGTTGGGCTACCACCTGACCATGCAGATTTTTCACACCACCAAACAAAAGAAACCGAAAGAACCGGGAGCCCCAATGTGGACTTTCCCTATCCTTTCCATACTCTGCTCTGTCCCTTCCCCTCTTTCTCACTTCTCTCTAGCTTAGTGTAGAAAAATCGGGCCGTTTAAATCGTATGGTTAGATCGGAACCGGGAACCGGCCACTTCTGGTTTCTAACTGGTTTTGGATAACTAGTTGGGTATTATTTTAAAAAAAACAATATATAAAATCTAAAAAAATAAGAAATTTTTGTAATGTATTTTTTTAATGTTTTTTATCATTGACAAAGATTGAAAATTGTTTTCGCCATTAATATGAATTTTTATATTTTCTATCTTTTCTTTGAAAAATAAAAAATGCCTCGGGTACAAATGGATTCTTTAAGATCTTTTTTTTCATTCTTTAAAATCCTTTTTTTTTCATTAATCTTCAATTTAAGTTGGATGTTTTTTGGTTTAATCATGCTTTAAATATACTTTTTACTTTTTATTATATTTTTTTTAACCGCCAGGGATTTATCCGATGAACCCCTTCGGCCCCATGTCCAGACAACTGGATACCCAGAAAAAGTCCCAGCTCAGAGAAAACACCAACACCAGCGACCATTATTCAAATGGAAAAGAGCTTGAAACGCCTCATGCAAAACCAGATACCCAGAAAAAGTCCCAGCTCAGAGAAAACACCAACACCAGCGCTCGATAATGGTCGTCAAGAAGATCTCACCCTTCAGGACCTCCGCATCATGTGAATTCCAATGAAAGATGGAAGAAACAATAGCGCTCCAATCCTTTCTGAAGTGCCAAAACAGGGTACTTTCAAATTCTCAGAGGAGACTTGAAATCAACTGCTTGATTCTTTGTGAGAGAAAAAGACGGTATTTTTTAATAGGTATTGAAATCGACAATTATAGAAAACAAGTATTTAGACATTCTATTGGAGACAAGAAAAAAAAAAGGGATTTGTTCTGTATTCCCAGAAACATAATTGGAAAGCGGGTTTTAAAAATGAAAAGGATGCATCTTTTGTGGCTGTAGCGGCGGTGAAGAGGGAAAGAAACCCATTGTAGCAAAGCTCGGCAGGGGAAGAGAGAGAAGAGAAAGTACCAAAGAATCAGCTACAAATGTAATGAATCTTCTGGTTTTGGAAATCACAGAGGGATTTAAAGACATACAGAGGTGGAGAGAGAAGCAGAGAGGAGATTTAGAAGGAGAGAGATTCAATGGGAGGGTACAAGGTCTTAAGAACAGCAAGGGAGAAAAATGGATGAAGTTTTTATAATGTGCAGGCTTTCCTTAGATCCTCACCCGAAAAAAATCTAAAATTAATTTCCAACACCCCCCAAAAAAATTTGAACAGGGTAAAATGGGAGGCAGGCCTATATCATTTGTTAAAATATACACTGTTTTGAGTCGTTGAAATCCTAGGTGTTTTGTACATCGCTAATGATTAAGCCAAATGATCCCATGTAATAATTTTTCAATAATTAAGTTTTTCAATACTTGAATTGTAATTTTCAATGAGTTATCCGGCTTTAAATATTTTAAAAATGTTGTAACCCAATCAAATCATTTTTCAAAAAAAATTAATAAAGCATTGGCAACCGGGGCTTTGGGTGCCCCAGTTTCTCTATATGTTTAAAAAACCGGATTGATGGCAAATCGTTCACACCCAATCTTGGTTTAGATTGGTTGGATCGGTAATTTGGATTCTTAAAGTATTTGGATTGGTAATCAAAAAATAAAAATAAAATTAAAATAAAGATTTATGTTTATGGATTGAAAAGGAGACGGTAGAAAATATTAGATAAGCTTAAAAAAATAAAAATAAAGAATAAAAAATAAGCTTTTAGGAAGAACCAGGTTGGGACCCATAGCATTTCAGAACCAGTTTGGTCCCAACTAATTCATCATTCAAATCGACAACTTAAATTGGAAGTTGATGGGTTTTAAAACACTAGTTTCTCCTTTTCACTTATAAAAAAGATATGGACCGTCAGATTTGGACCGTCCAAATTAACGGAAGGAACAGGAGGCACCCTGTTATTGTGGGCTGCAGCCATATCAAAACATTTTCCTTTAGTAAATGAAGGGAGAATCAGAATCCAGTGCCATACCTGACCATATAGGTTATCTCTGTTTATTGAACAATTTAACTATATTTTCCTAATAAAACAAGTCCGAAAAGCAAAACCAAAAAGATGTATGATGCCCACAGATAATTCCTTAAAATAAATGAACCATCCTCCGAATCATGTATTCACAAAGAGAGAAGAGAGGAGGAGAGAGACTTCTCAAATTTATCAATCTAAAAGAAAAGGTTTATATAAGGTTGCAATCTTAAAATGTAGAATTATATATGCACCTCAAAATTTTATTGGAAAGGTTGTTTTAATGTTGAAAAACCCTCTAATTGATCATCTCGATATCAAGATGTATGAATATAAAAAAAAAAAAAATTTGAGTCCCGAAATAGTGCATCTTGCAACACATTTTTTAGACCATCTATTTTCAAGATTTTCGTGTCTACAGATCTACTTGATTTTAATTATTTTTGGAATTTAAAATTTTCTAATTAATTATGAAAGTAGATTTTAAGATAATTCTACTAATCTTTTACAACAAAATTACATATTATGATAAAATTTGAAAGTGCAATTTAATTCGATTGTTTACAACCTTATAGAAACCGTACCTCAAACTAAAGGCACAAAAGATACAAATTTCTATAAGAATAAATTTATAGACAGAGAAACAAAAGCATGGCAATGGAAATAAAGGATAGAGCAACAACAAATCCATCAAGAAAAGAATAACCCAACTTCCGTTTCAGTCTCACAGGAACTCTGATGGTTCAAAAGTGGATCTCTCTCACTTGCAGTGCCATTAGTCTCTGAACCCCCTGCCATTGATTCACAGAAACACAATTAAGAATCTCTAACCAATTCCTGGTTACACTTCAGAAATGAGTTTTGATCAGTCGATAAATATATGTGGAATTGAGTACATTTTCTAGGAATCTAAACAAGAACCAGTATGAGAAAGTCAATCGCTTGTGGAAAAGGATTGACACCCATTTTCTAGCAGTGCACCATCAGTTTTTTTGTCATTTGTGAACCAAGCCCGCATATGTAGAAATGTGGGCCTCTTAATCAATTTATGTTTTAGATGGATTTTAAGATTTAATTTTTAACAATATTTAATCTCTAACATAGAGATCATGAATATGAAAAAATAAATAAATTTTAAAAACTAAAAACAATAATTCTAGTAAGAAAACATTTGGACCGCTAGTTTTCATTGTTTTTAAATAGAACACCTACTTATATCAAATGGATGCTTTACACTTTCTGGACCACATATGTAGAAATACGGTCCAGCTTGCATGAAACAATTTTCCTTTTCTTAATTTCCATTTTATTGTGCATTCTTCACTTTTCGCTTGTATTTTTATTTTTGTATAAATTTTTTTCCTTTTTTATGTATTTCTCTTTTTTTTTTCTTTATTAAATCAATAGGTCTATAACTATTAACTATTGTATGATTCCTTTTTTTTCATTATAAAAATTTGAGTTAGAGAAATCCATTTTATTGAAATGAGTTGTATTTTACAACAAAATGATAACAACACTTCGGAAATGAGACATGTTCTCAATATTTATATATTTTTAGTAAAACAACATAATTTATAAGGCAATATTATTATTTTTTAGGAAACCTAAAAAACTATATTTTTTAAAATTATCGTGATTTTTTAATTCCATATCTTGCCGATCCGGCTCATTCTCCAATCCAATTCGCCAATCTACCAATCCCACATTGTTTTTGAGGTGCCCCGTCTAAATCACCGATCCATTTTTTTTTAATCTTGGTTCCAATTATATTGGATGTTTGGATGTGCCAAAGGGACTCTCTCTCCCTTTCCACCATTTTTTTGAATGTGTGACATCTTTCGCTGTGAGAGAGAGAGTGAGATGCCTTTGAGAACTTTTGATTAAAATTTGAGCAATGGCATTAATTGATGATCACTCCTACATATAGGCTTGTTTAGTTCTAATAAGTGATTAGAAAATGGGTGCGGTTTGTATAGACCGAGGCTCTAAACAATCAAAGTAAAGCTCACCTTCAAATAATGTTGAGAAATATGGTTTTAATATTTAAAATATTGTGATAGCCGTAAAATATTTGACTAGAGGGAGATTTTAATAAAAAAAATTCAAAATTATAAAAAATTAGGAGACTCGGACGACTTTGGCTTTTTGGGTCTGGAATTAGCGAATTCCAAATTAGAACCTCAATTATTATTTTTAAACACTATTTCAAGTAAGTCACCTAGACATAACCACCAAAATGGTTGTAGTCACTATCTCATTTAACGGTGAGGTTTGTATAAGGCTGAGGCCCTAAACAATCAAAGTAAGACACACCTTTAAATAGTGTCAAAAGACGTCGTTTCAACACCAAAATTCTTTATGATAGCTTGAAAACCTATTTCCATATTTAATTATAAATATTAAAGCTTAATAATAATGTAGATCAAATAGAACTATGAACACTTGAAAATCTTGAAAACCAACGGTCTAGAGAATACAAGATGCACTATTTCAAAGATTGGAAGTCCAGTTTTATTTAACATCCATACATCTAAAGGTCGAGATGATTGGATTTGAGGACTTTTCAGCATCGAAATAACTTCTATTGAATTTTTTAGATGTGACTTAATTTGATTGTTTAGAGTCTCGACCTTAAATAAACTTTTTCCCTCATTTAATATCCTAGAAAAAACTATGAAAATTTCTATAGCCAACGATAATATCATCATTGAGCTAAAATGATCCACCTAAGAGATATTCTTGGACTACCTACATCAAATACATCCCCAGTTCCAAGTAAAATAAGTAGGAAAAAGACCTCACATCCTTCAATATAGACTTTAGGAGGCTTTGTACAAGCATGAATGAAGAGTTCAATAATAAGGAAAACAATTGTTCTTTATCAAAACTGGTCAACGTTAGTTTTATTTTGATTTTATTTCCATTCAAGATTATTTTTTCAACTTACCCATTAAATTGTAAAATATTGGAGCCACTCACCAAGCATCACCGTTCAAACCCATGATGCGAAAATGATGGCCCCCAATCACCATACTATTTCGCAATTCAAAAGGGTCTCATCGGAAAAAAAAAAAAAAAATTTCCTTTGAAATGTCACATGTCGAAATAAGTATCTATAAAGAGACTATTTACCTTTTGTACTAGAAAATCACAACTATTCTTACTCATTAAATATCAAATTGGATAGTTTGGGATGAGTCACAAAGTCAAAAATTTTTGTTTTGGAACCTTGTGTCTAATCAATGACACTTTTATAACCACCTACTTTGAAATATAAGGGACAATAATAAATTTAATAGCATTGTATAAAAAGTAAATGATCTATTTGTCAACAATTCGAACCTAATTCTTGAAAACCATCACGCTAGAGGCTTTATTAACACCTTTTACCAAGCATTGAAGCTATATGACGAGTACACTATGAAGAAAGGCATTGCAACTTCAATTATTTTAGTCAAATACTTGCACCTGTTGAATATTGGAGTTCAATTATATATCTTCACCATCCGAGTCTTATCTCAACTTTGAATGCTAACATATTGATTTCTTATTAAAAATAAAATATAATAATTTACATTGAATTTTAATTTCTAAAAAAATGCAACAATGTTAATCAAACCTAGAATCTATTTACATTTAATGAGTGAGTTTATGCACCTTGCTTTGCCAACCGTTTAAGTTGTTTGGATGCTGCTCCCAAAACGTGTGCTACACGCATTTTAGGCAGCTTGTCATATGATGCTCAAAATGTTGGTCGGTGACTCTCATTTTTAAAAACGCTAGTTGGATTATTTGAGGGGAAAAGTTTATATAAAGTTGCAACTTTAAAATGTAGAATTACATATGCACTTCAAAAATCTACCAGAAAGGTTGTTTTAATGTTGAAAAACCTGTATTTGATCATCTCGATATCGAAATGTATGAATATAAAAAATAAATAAAATTTGAGTATCAGAAATAGTACATCTTGCAACACATTATCTAGACCGTCCATTTTCAAGATTTTCATATGTTGATAGATCTCCTTGATTTTAACCAGTTTTGGAGTTTAAAATTTTCTAATTAGATATGAAAATATATTTTAAGATAATCCTAATAATATTTTACAACAAAATTACATGTTATAATAAAATTTGGAGGTGCACCTTAATTGGATTGTTTAAGGTTGCAACCTTACAGAAACCGCACCGTTATTTGAGTTATATGTTCGAATGAAATAAGCAATCACAACTTTTTCAGATATATATATATATATATATATATTTGTCTAGAGTTAACAACCCCTCAAAATACAGAGGTTCAAGTTAAAAGGGGTTGTGATGGTTGTATTTATCAAAACAATCATTACTTTTCTATTAAAAAATTATTTAAATATGTAACTTTACCACTAAACAATGGTAAATTTGAAATTTTCACAAAAGTACAATGACATTTTGAAAGTTGATAGCTTAGAACTTTATTGGCAGAGTGTCATTGTCTTTTAATTAAAATTTCAATTTTACCCTTTTTGGAGATGACAAAAGTACTTATAGTAATATTTATAAAATTGCCCCACA